CGCGCGAAATGCGCAACACCATGGATCCCGTTTGTGTGACGTGCTTATCTTGTTTATGTTTTCGTCCGATTCTTTATGTTGAGGAGGGACACATGATTCATGCAGTGGTAGGTCTTCCAGTTGTACGATTGGTAGGCTCTCGAGGCACATTGTATTTTGGATTTCATTATACAGGTCGGTGAATTCAGCAGAGGTGAGGTATCTGTTAGTATCTGGTATGAGGTTGTGATCATTATCTTTGAATTCCAGAGTATGGATTGCTCTACTGATTCGGTGATTTTGAGTATGGATAATATCTTCATCCATGATGTAGTGTTGTTTTTCGGTGTAGGCTGTAAATTTGCGGTCACTCTCCCCTGGTCCTCTAGGCGGTGGACCCAGTGGCCTTGGGTCAGTGTCCATTGGTGGTGGTCCTGTGGTTGTGCTCGATGGTGGCTTTGGATGTCGTTGTTTTGGGTGGTGTTGCCTGTGGTCCTTACCGTCACTGATGAGCTCTTTCAATGATGGTGACTCCCGGAGATACAAGTCGATTCTGTTATCAATGACGGTGTGGAGAGTAGGGGATGTTGTGATCGAGGCTGCGATCCGTTTGTCTATCAATTGGTCCACCGTTTTATCACTGTTGATGTGGTGGGTGATGGTACGTTCAATATCCGATTCAGCCATTGTTTTAGTTACGATAATGCCTTCCTGTGCTTCTGTCATGGATTGATTGAGTTCTCTCGTGATATCTTTTTGATAGCTGGTAAGGGTTTGGACATGGTTCTTGCATATTTGATTGAGGTTGTTCTTGGTGGTGGCAATGTCTGTCTTCATCTGCTGCAGGGTATCGGTGGCTTGGGATGTTATTTCCCTTTTTGCTTGTGCTACCACACTGTCCTTTAGGCTTTGTAAGATATTGTTTTTGTGCTCCAGTTTGTTGTCAATGAGTGTTTGAACTGTTGTTTCCAAGATGCTTGTTTGGTTATCAATGGCCCGCATCATGTTATCTTCCATGTGTTTGCAGAATGTAACTAACTCTTCCTTGCTTCGTTCGACAATGTTGTTTGCCTGGGTGGATAGTTCAGTTATCTTGGTCGTAAGGAGAGGTGATTTGGTAGTTATACTGCTGACTTTGTCTCGGAGATGTTTGAATTGTATGGTCTTATTAAGGATGGATGTGAGGACTGTGGAAGCTTGGTGAGTTCTCTGTTCTAATGCCCAGGAAGTGTTGGCCGCAGCTGTGATGTCTCGTTGGAGATTGGTGTTGACTGTCATAGCTTTGGTTAGTGTGGCTTCCTGTGATTGTAACTGCTGTTTTAGAGCTTGTACTAATTGTTGGGCCCTTGCTAGTTCCTCTTTTGTGTTAGCTAGTTCATCCTTGGTATGCGTGAGTTCGTTGGATGTGAGCTCAATTGCATTGGTGTAGGAGGCTTGGATCGTGTCGATTCGAGCATCCATAGTTTTCAATTGAATGAGGATGTCCTGTGGTGGGTGTTGTAGTGGCTTGTCCTTCCGTTTCACCGTGGTTGTTGGTTGGTGGGGAGATAGGCTGTCCTGAATGGATTGAAGCTCTTGATCGATCCTGTTGTATGTTTGATCATATGTACTGGTGAGGCGTTCAGACAGAGTGGATCTTGATGGGGAGTCTGTAGTGGAATCTGTGTCCGTATTAGTGGGTTCCTTGGATGCTGCTCTGCTTTGCTCAGCTGCAAACCGTTCTTGTAGGTTGGCAGGGGCTACTTCAATGGAACTAAGCGAGTCTGGGTCGCTAAGGGTTTCTTCTTTGTCTTCCATTCCTTGTGGGTTTGGTCGGTTGTCCCTAACATGGTCCTTCTTTGCCAGTGAACTGGATCGGCTTGTTGTCGTACTGTGTTCTTCAGTGCTGGATTCCCTAAGGTGTGTGGGAAGGCGTGACTGACGGCGTGTGGTAACTTCCTCAGGTGGTGTGTCAGTATCCAGTGGAATGAGTGTGTTCATATATTCAATAAGGGCTGTGCTGTATTGATATCTGGGTACTGATGTTGTTGGGGAGGTGTTGGGTGGGATTCGAAAGTGATTTCGATGGAGTAAGGTTGTTAGGGGCTCTCCTAACGCTGTGATCTTGTTGGTAGCATTCATCGTATGGGAGTGGATGATATTGATGTAGTTCGCGTAGTGTTGTGGAGGTGGTGGATTCTTGGGTTTAAAGGGGAAGAGTTTTGTGGTGTATATGTCCAAGGAAGCAGTAAATCAGACTGCTGTTGTCCATTTGGTATCCAAGTGGTCTGATGTGATGGTTGATGAGTTTGAGGTATGTCTGTTTGTTGCTCATAACCTGCGAATGTTAGTATGCTCCCATATTACGTGTTAATACGTGGTTTACAATAGAGGAGTGAGGTTATTCACTAGCTACTCGGGATTTAGCCTCACAAGGCGTGTTGTTTTAATGATTAGTTTCAAGTACGAATGGCACCAGATTTCAAAAGGGAATGCTGCAAACAGAGGTATCCCATGCCTTTTCAACCTACAACCCCATTTGCCTTGACAGTGTTGGGATCTCTTATTCCAAAAAGATACAACAGTATCTTGAACGAACAAAAGCAAGTATAGATTGAGATGAACGTTTCTTCAACGATCTCCGTGCAATCTCTTGTTGGAGTTTTCTCCGATCCAAGGTGCCGAAATATCGTCTGCAGCTTCCACGATTCTTGTTGTAGCAGCGAATGGGAGGATACATGCGATGAGATAGCCGAGAATTTGTGCAAACCAGACGTGGAGGAGATCCCGAGCATTGGTGGGGATTGTCCGTTCGGAATGACCTGCAGCTATGAGCAGATGGCCAATTGCACCGAACTGGTGACCCATTACAATGATACAATGTATTTGGGAAACGTACTCGGTGGAATTTACTGCGGTGGCGGGGAAGCCGACTTTTATGGAATCCAAAACTGCCCAAGGGGGAGCTACTGTCCAGATCCAGAAACAAAGCTTCCATGCCCGGCCGGATATTTTTGTCCGTATAAGACTCTTGATCCAACGTTGCCATGCGCACGGTGCAAGGAGGGGGCCCTCGAACTCGAACGTGATTTGTACGGTTGGATTGGTTTGCTTATAATTTTGGTATTGGCCGTAGCGTACATCGCATGGGGCTTATTGAACCGATACAACAAGCGCGTAGCGGATCATGTCAGCGATCTGGAACAACGAGCATTGAACCGAATTGAGAATCTGAAATCGGACATGACCGGGAATGATTCTGAACAAAGCCGTGAACTCGAACAGCTCCGGCCAAAACTGGAACTCATCAAAATCCGCCTCGCGAATATGGAGAGAACAGACGAATCAGCGAGGGACGTTAAAGTTTTGGGCTCAAGCAAGAAAATTATTGATGGTAGCAAGGCCGTTGAATTGGATGGAGAACGTATAAGGTTCGACGCAATTCGTCTCTTTGATGTATTGGATATCGATGGTAGCGGCGATCTTAGCTTTGACGAGCTAAACGCTATTTTAGGCCTGAGCGAGGTGGAATTGAAAGAATTCATCCGAAGAATGAATGAGATGGCTGCCGATTCTTCCTCCGACAAAAACACTGTTACGAGACCCGTCTTTGCGAAATACTTTTTGCAGGTCCTCACAGATACCAACCACATTGCTATTTCCTACGAGGAAGCCGAGGCTATTTTCGATAGTTTCGTTGACGGTAATAAGTCGACGAACGAAATCAACATGAATAAATTCTACTCATCTTCTATGTCGGAATTTCTCTCCGATAGCCAGATTCTCCAGCTCATTAAAGCATTCAAAGCTCTTAAGACGGACGTCGATATATTGGTGCAAGATCCACACCATGATGACCTCCAAACTGGTTCAGAACAATTATCTCGTACGATCAACCGTCGCGGAAGTTTGAGTGCTCTTCGAGCTAGTAGACGCCCGAGCACCATGGCTTTGGAAGCAATCATAACTGCAGAAGAAGCAACTGACCAGAAAATCACTTCATCATTAAGAGGAGCAACACCAACGACAAAAACGTCAGGAGGAAAATCGACGATGATGATCGGGCGCAAGCTTTTTATTGAAAAGTATCCGCAGCTGCTCATGGACATAATGCTGAAAGAAGAAGATGGTGATGACCACACTGAGCTCATAGATATATGTGGTGTTGATCTTTGCTTCAAAGACCTTTCCCTTTCTATTAAAGTTGGCAAGCAGACAGTCGATGTCGTAAACAATGTGACGGGAAGAATCCGAGGAAAGACGATGACAGCTTTGATGGGTGGTAGTGGTGCAGGCAAAACGTCGCTTCTCAATGCACTGTGCGGAAGAGCGCATTACGGAGAAACAACTGGAACGGTATATCTTAATGGCCATGAAACAGATATCGAAAGTCACGTGGATTGTATCGGTTTTGTGCCCCAGGATGATATTGTATATGCAGAACTGACCGTCAGAGAAAATTTCATATTCGCTGGAAAGTTTCGCCTACCGAAGGGCACGTCAGACAAAGAGGTTCAAGAGCTAGTAGATGAAACAATTGCAAATCTTGGTTTGGCTCGCGTAGCCAATAGCCCGGTAGGAGATGTGAAAAGAAGAGGAGTTTCGGGAGGAGAAAAGAAAAGAGTGAACATTGGCCTTGAACTTATGGGAATGCCATCTATATGTAAGTCATAGTCTCTTTCATGTGCGATGAATGTATCATACGATTGAAGCCCTTGTAATATCCTTATCTCTTCTATTCTGTAATCGATTTTTCTATCAATTTAGTGTTTCTTGACGAGCCAACCTCAGTAAGTTTCGTTTCATCCCCACAAACATATTTTTCAAAACAAATGTCTTAGCAATCCTGACTTTTTGCTATTTTTTGTATGTCTCTGGTCTCTTCTTTTTTTTTCCACGCACCGGTATCATTTATTTTCGCAAGGGTCTGGTACGTACTAACTAAGAAGCCTGTCATTTTCTGATTGTAAACAATGGAAACTGACCTTTTTTCACTCTTGCACAATAGGATGCTTCATCTGCTCTTTTAGTGATGAAGAGTCTCAACCATTTGGTCGAAAGAGATGGAGTAACTGTAGTATCTGTGATCCATCAGGTTAGTGAGGGCCCGTCGTTAGAACACCGAAAGCATAGATTGATAATCCTTTTTTTTGCTGAACTCTACTCATTCGGAATGACTCGATCTCTTTTGACTCGTTATCTCGTTTATCAGCCTCGGAAATTCATTTATGATTTGTTTGATTCACTGATTTTGCTAGGAGTGGGGGGGGAAATCATGTATCACGGTCCAACAGAAGGTGCAGAGCCTTATTTCGATCGCCTGAACTATAAATTGCCGAAGGGGGAAAGTGTCTCAGATTGGCTGATTGATATCAGTAGCGGCAGATTGGAACCCGAAAATAATATCAGTTTGACGAAAGGGGAATCAAAGAAAAAGGGGAAAGATTCCAAAGTGGGAGGAAAAGAACATATATTACCACAACCTGGAGTAATCAATGATGATAATTGTGTTGGCAAGAAGGGAGTAACTACTGGCAAGGTTGTTCGGTGAGCAAAATACTGATGTTGCAAATTCATGATCGATGTTCGTGATTTTGACGTTCTATTTTTTTGCGATTTCATACATTTTTTTTTTTTTTCAGAGCACTTGAAGATGCAAAACTACGTAGGACATGGCTGTGCGAAGAGTGGTTGAAATATTTTGATAACATGGGTGATAAAGAAAAAACGCTTTACGAGCCCCCAGAAAAGTATGATTTACCGATAGATATCGAAAAGCCTTCTTTCTCATTCCAATTTGTAAATCAGGTGAAAAGAGCACTACTGGTAGCGTGGAGAGATCGACTTACACGAATTATCACTGCCACAATAATAGTTGGATCCGTGATATTTATCACTGCTCTAGATGGAGTAACATCAGTTTCTATCGATCTAAACCCTGATCTCCCGTTCGACGTTTTGGTTCGCCCACAGGAGCGTGACCAAGAAAACATTTTCAATGCTCTGTTTGCATATGTTCATAGGCAACAGATACAGTAAGTTAAATGTGCACCAACTGAATGGAACCGTGGTAACTGTTGCAGTTCTTTTGACCCGTTTCGTTTCTGAACCCCTTAATTTCTTCGTAGATATCCAATGAAAGTTGGCATCGTTCTTTGTATCATTGTCGGGTTAACAGCAACAACTAATCTAACGTCGAAGCGTATGGAATTTTTCCGGGAGTCCGGGTCGGGGTATGATATCAATGCATATTTTTTTGCGATAAACATTATTTCTACCATTGAATTTTCAATTCAGGTATTAATAGCAGCTCTCTTTGCAACCTGGATTCGGAATCCAATTGCATCCTATATTTCATACTACATCCATTTTCTTCTGTTGACGTGGGTGACGGTCTCATGGTCGATGTTTTTCCCCATGGTATGCTCGCCAGATACTGTGCCGTTAGTTGCAGGCTTCTTCTTCACATTTTGTGGTTTGGTTTTCAGTGGGGCTTTCTCTCCTTTCGGATATGAAGCAATTTACGAAGAGGGCGGTTTCAAAGAGGTTTTGGTCGGATGGGTTTCACCGACGCGTTTCTTTTTTGAAGCATTGACGGTTGGGGAATACAGATGTTTACCTGAGCAAAGTGGGTTCACAATCGCATCAAGTAGCTCAAATCGCAACTCAACCAACACAATGATGAGAAAAATGGGATATGCTGGTCGCGACCTTCAAGCAGTTCGTTGGTCGTGCGATGGTTGGTACTGGTCAGTAGCTCCGGCAATCCTAATCGGAATCACAGTTCGTTACCTAGCGTTCGGTGCTATGCATGCTTGTTTCAGAGCCCAACAAGCGAAGAAGCCTTTGATTCATAAACTTCAAAAGAAGCGCACTTGTTTTCCTGAGATTTTTTACGTTGCCGGTTTCATACTTTTGGTGTCTTTTACAACCGTTGTTTTTATTGTGGACCAACCGTTCGACGAAAATGTTCCACGGACTGAACTGCAGCTGCTCAATGACTTTGGTTTCTTTGATTGATTATCACAATCTGGCAATCAGGCTTGCACAAGACATTTAACTTTTTAATATTTATATCACATATGTTTTGTGAGGTTTGCATGCGTTGATTAATATCTAAATTTCTGGCAGAAAGTTGTTGAAAACATCCGGCGCTCGGAATTTTAAATGTTTGAGGAGACAAACAATAGACACCATCTTCCTCCCAAAAGTCGCGCCAGCTGCCTATGATTTTTCTGTAGAAAAATAGTAATCTACCCACTAAGCTAGAACAAAAACAAAGATAAAGCAATGCCGCTGCTCAAAAGTTTTGTCCAATGCAATATGCTCGTGACAGTGCTCGCAGATGGCGATGCGTACTTTTCGGACAAAAAGATGCATTCATCATTAATGCAATCAAAGGTTTCGTTGACAAGAGTCTTATTTTTCGGAAGGTAGCAATCCACCAAATACGTCTTGTTGTCAAAGTCGAATTTTTCCAGGGTCAGGGCATCAAAATTCTGCCCTCTTAATTCGTCTTGGCAGGTCGCACAAGTATCGCCTAGATCGCAAGCATAAAATTCTAGTGGCGGAGACACAAATGGGGTAAGATCTTTTAATACTCGCATGTCGTATCGCCATTCTTCGCTGCAACCTGTCCACATGGAGTTGGAGCTGTTGTTGTCGAATGCTCGATATGAATCGACTCCAACAACTTGGCAGCCATTTTCAATACGATCAAAATATTCGTCGTACTTCAAGTCTTCCTCCTCGTAAGTGTCGCTGTTGTTTCGGTATTTGTTTCTGTAGTGGTGTCCGTGACGATAATGAGAGCTGGAGAGGAAATATCCGGTCATAAACCCTGTTCCATAGCCGCCGTTGGGGTATTTCCCGAAGCCATTCGTTTTAGCATACCCACCTCCGTTGGATTTAATAGGGCGATAACTACTGCTGGTGCTGCTGCTGCCCCATTTAGAGCTTCCGCCGGTGCTAGTACTACTCGTACCAACACTGGATCCTGAGCCTGAAGGTTTGAAGTTGCCACTACTGGATCCTGAGCCTGAAGGTTTGAAGTTGCCACTACTGGATCCTGAGCCTGAAGGTTTGAAGTTGCCACTACTGGATCCTGAGCCCCAGCCACTACTGGATCCTGAGCCCGATGGTCTGGATCCTGAGCCCGATGGTCTGCTATAACTTTTGGAGCTTGCTGTATTGACTACAAGCAATAGCACGATGAAGAAGTTTACGATAGTGTTTTTAATGCTCGTTAAATTCATCGTGTTCCCTTCTTTCATTTCCTTCTAAATTAGGTTGTGTGTTAAGATTTTATGGAGAGAGGCTTGAATGGTCCGGAGGAGAATTTTTGTTACTTTACTGTAGGAGGAAAACGGAATACAGTATATTTTGACATACAGTAAAATAGTTTCTTTTTTCAGTTATTTAAACATGCAGGGCGCTTTGGTGTCAGTGTAGTGGTCGCATTGTTCTTCACGTAGACCTATGTAGAAAACCTACTGGAAAAAGCTTTTACGCGATCTCTGACACCTAAACAGGATGTGCCGTACGTACCGTACGGTAGACTCACGAGCACTGACATACTCTGTTCCTTTTTTCTCCACGACCCCGCACACAATCGCGTTCAAAAGTTCCCAGGCGGTACGTTCGTACGTAAGCATACCTACTGTAAACTGAGAAGACGTTGTCAAAAAGTCGAAACAAATATTTTTGAAAATATTATTTGTTCACTTCGTACGAAATACGTCGGAAGCAATCAAGATACCGAAGTTATGCAACTGACGATCGATTCATAATCATTACTGTATTCGTCATATTTGTTGATCAGATTGGTAAAAATAGAATAAGGCACTCTTCACTTCCGTTGTCACAGATTTCTACAATAGATCATAGTAAGATTTTCCGGACCAAAACCCAGTTGGTATGTCCATGTGCCAATCTGAAACATTCTTAATATCATAGGAGTAGATATCCATCAAATGGTGCAGCAGGTGACGCCTCTTCGAAGCCCTGGAGTCGAAAAGGATGGTCAAGAATTTGGGCTTGTTCCTAGATACGTGCTGAGGAAAAAGAAAGCAGTGAACAAGGAAGGACGAGGACCCACAGGCGACTCCAACCATGTAAAAAACAACCAGAATGGCCACCACGACATGATGAAGGATTGCGACGAAGAAGACACCCCCCAAAAGACTCCACAAGAAGTGGACAAGCTGTTGCACGAGACAAACTCGCTGCTAGCTCGCCGATGGAGATTGTCATCCCTTATAGATTCGGAGCGCGACAAGAAAGTCTTACTGGCTACCGAGGCCTACCTACCGTCAAAGGCCGCCGACCGCATCGAAAAAAATTGCAAAACCAAGATGGAACTTTTTGGGTCTGAATTGATGGATAAAAAAATAACTCTGTTCGAAGATTTGTCCTCTGAAAAGTCCGAAGTTGGCGTCGAAGGCGGTTATGTCCAGCTTCTTCCTACCCGTGATCTCGCAGGCCGCGCAGTTCTGTTTTTTCAATACGACCAAGACCTGTATTCAGAGCAACCAATCAATTTCCGCAAGATTTTGTTTTATATGATGGCAAGTGCACTGGAAGACGTAGATACGGCCCGGAAAGGAATCAGCATGGTAGTTTGGAATGGTGCTCCCACGAAATGGTTCGATCCCTTTTGGCGAGTCTTTGAAAAGATCAGTGCTCCATTCAAAATATCAAAACTGCATTACTGCCAAGTGTCACAGTACGAGTCATCGTACCAAGTCCTTGAAAAACGAGAGCGAGGAGAGACGGATGTTCGGATCCATAAGGGGTCGTTGCAGGAATGCATGCATGGTCTTGTAACATATGGTGTTCCGAGCCACTTTATCCCACTGAATCCTCTTGATGGAAGCATAAATTTGAAAGAGCACTTAAAATGGATCGAGCTCCGCCGACGGATCGAATCGTTTCCAGAATCTCAACAGGCATGCATTGTGCTGGTGCCCGGGCAAGACGACGTTCTTCTGGGCAAGCGGAAGATGTCTATGAATGGCAACGTGCTTTATCACCAGATGATTATGAAAAACATCAAAGCCTACCACGAGGCAACATCTGAAGACGCGCGCGATGATATTCTGATGGCTGTATGGGATTCCATACAGTGTCGCGGAGGGCGGTTTTTGTTGCAGGTCGAGGACGGTCAATTGTGGGAGAGGCTGGAGTTGCAGTCGGCTCTGTACAAAATCAGCCAGGCTTTTGACTTTTTATGCATGCAGCTTTATGCACCAAAGCCAACGAGCTCGAAAGATTCCAGCAGCAAGAATTCGAAGGACGACGAGGACATATTTTTTGGTTGGAACGATTTGCTCGATGGGAAAAAATGCTATGAATGTTTCGACCTGATACACTGCAAGGGCGATGGTTTTGGGAAGCCAGCCGCGTGTTGGTAGGGGCAATTGCTCTCTGCTGTGGCAAGCGCTACAGCAAATTAATTTGGGACTCTTTGTGCAGTATGGAATGTAGAGCAGATTGGATCATGGTTGTATTTCTTGCATCATTATTGTTTTATGTGATAATCACTGCCTGTAAAAAGTTGTAGTTACAATGCTTATGCATGCCTTACCCCTGCTGTATTGGTGTAGATTTGCTGCGTTTGCTACGAGTCCTTTGTCATACCATATGAGTTCGTGGAAGATGCAATCACAGGGCAGTCATGACGTCGTCGCAGCTTTGCGAACAATGAACCAATGTCATCTGTTTTTCCCTTTTTCCGGATGACATCCCCGCGCTTGTTGAAAGTGAGGCAGTAGGTATATCAGTCTGTGGCGTGATGAAAGTCTGGCCTTTGCGAATTTTTCCTGACTGCTCACATACCCGTCCCGGCGGAATGTATTGGGGTGCCTTCGCCGTTTCGTTGCCGGTCTCGAAAGCATCCCTAAATACGACCTTAGTCATGTCGATCTAATCAAGAATTTCGATTCTGCGAAATCACAGTTGCTACCAGAAATTACGATTTGTTGTTCGATTTGATACTATTATAGACTTCAACAAGCTTTTGGGTTAACCGACTCAGCAAACCGATCCCGTTAGTACAATACCGACATTTACAACGCAGCGGCGGTGGGATTTCGGATCTAGTTCTTCTATTTTGAAAAATACGTGATCAAAAATTATCAAAATAAATCGTCTTCCAAAGCGGTTCCTGCTTCCTTTTATCGAGAATACCAAAAAACACGATCGCAGCAGATGTTAATCGCTTCATCTATCCCATTACCGAAAGGTCTAAGCTTCGACCGATTCTGCCTTCATGGCCGATGCTTCGTCCCACAGGTTCTGGAAGAGCGCCGTCGAGAGGTATCGTTCTCCGAAGGACGGAATGATGGCCACGATGCGTTTTCCCTTGTTTTCGGGGCGCTTGGCAACTTGCGTGGCGGCCAAAACGGAAGCCCCGCTGGAAATTCCGCAAAAGATTCCCTCTTGGGTGGCCATGTTGCGCGCCATTTCCATGGCGTCGTCGCCCGCGATCTGGATAACCTCGTCGAGCAAGCTGGTGTCGGCGTTTCCGGGGATGAAGCCGGCTCCGATGCCCTGGATTTTGTGGGGACCGGGCTTTCCACCAGAGAGAACCGCCGATTCGGTTGGTTCGACGGCCACGATCTGGAGGGAAGGATTCAGTGGCTTGAGGTATTGTCCGCAGCCCGTGATGGTTCCACCGGTCCCGACTCCGCCGACCAAGATGTCGACCTTGCCTTCGGTATCAGCCCAGATTTCCGGTCCGGTCGTCTCGCGATGGATCTTCGGGTTGTCGGCGTTGTTGAATTGCTGCAACAAAAATCCGCCCTGCGTAGCAGCGATTTCTTCGGCCTTGGCAATGGCTCCTCCCATTCCCTTGGCGGCAGGGGTGAGGACCAGCTTGGCCCCGAAGGCCTTGAGGAGGACGCGTCGCTCCATGCTCATGGATTCGGGCATGGTCAGGATCAGGTCGTATCCCTTGGAGGCAGCGACCATGGCCAATCCGATGCCGGTGTTGCCCGATGTGGGCTCGACCAAAACGGTCTCACCGGGTTTGATGTCTCCGCGCTCTTCGGCCTGGGTAATCATGCTGAGGGCGATGCGGTCCTTCACTGAGTTGGCGGGGTTGAAGCTCTCGAGTTTCAAGACAATCTCTGCCTCGCATCCCTCGTTGAGCTTGGAGAGCTTGACAAGTGGAGTTCCCCCGATCAAATCCAAGACGTTCTCGGCAATCTTGGGTCTTTCCGCGCCCAGGGCGGTCGTCGAAGCAGTGGTGGACGTCGACGACGGAAGGGTGAATGCCTGGGCCATGCCAAGCGAGGCGATAGTTGCGAGAGCTGCTGCGAACTTCATCTTTTAGATAATAGAGTGGTTGTGTGGTTGTGCTGACGTGCGTTTTTAAATGCTTGTAGCTTTGTGTCGTATTGTTTTGTGTTGTGACTGTTGTCCGTGATTGGTAATTTTTGTGGGCACGCTCCTGAACAAAAAATTGATGCTGTGCTTCTTGCCTAAGATATTTATTTAATTTTTTTGCTTGAACACCATCGGTTGTCACCGTGTGTGCTAATCAAAGAAAGGCATCGTGGATGTTCGTTCGGCGGAGAGAAGAATCACGATGAGAAGCGAAGACTCCTCTGATGACAAGATGCGTTACGGTACTGGATCTACGGTGGTATGAGTACTTTACGTACTCGTACCCCACGAAGGGCAGATCGGTTCGGCACCCTGGATCTATTTTTTATTCGTTGCCCATCACGTGCTTCAATTTGGGAAGGGGGAAGGGGGGATCAATCAAGCCCACTATAAATACTGTACGTATGTACCGTACATACGGTACGATACACGATACTCGTCCATCTAAAATTTACATCGTACTGTACGTACGTACGATTACTTCTTCATACTTATGTTCGTAGACTACATACATACTATTGAGTTGGTATTATAGTACGAACCTTCTGTACTGTACTATTGACTATTGTACTGTACTGTACGATACGTATGTGACACAACATACCGTACAGTAAGTACAGTACCGTACGTCAAGGGGACGCCGCCAAACGAGCGCCGCACGATTATTTTTTGTCACGGCGAGGCAAGTCCAGTACGGTACTCGTACAGGTACGTACCGGACGCACTGGTACGAGAGAGCACAATGCAGACAACCCAAACAGCGGCGGCACCGGTCACCAAAAATACACGAGCTCGAAACAAGCAGGCCGTGCATTTTGATGGTAACTGTTGCCAAACCAACCAGCAACCTCAGTTTCAAGAGCACACCTCTGTCGCTTCCTGGAAACAAAACGAAACACAGATCAGAAACAGCTAAAAACCTCCCGTAAACTCTTGGCCTGTTCGAAGATCGACCGAACTGCTTCTAGTTACAAGCCAACAATTAGATTCATACCGACTCCCTGTTTCTGTTGATCGGACGATACGAGTACTCATTTTCGTGCAGGAAACAGCATTGCAGCAGGAATCGTATCATTTGGAAATACAGACAAATCCGCAAGTTGCATAGGTAGTCGTCGCGAGGAAAGGAGAATCGACTGTATCACCTGCATCACAGTGGTTCATCAACGCATCAACCTGCGGAAACGGAAAACAACAAAAAACAAAGAATCAATCAAAGGAATTCCCACGCACCATACGACGCCCACACGCCCACACAAATCATCAATTATCAATTATCATTGCACACCGCACACTATATAAAGGGCACACAATACGCATACTCATTCAATCGGGTTATACAGTTTTATACAAATACACAGAGAGACAAAACAAAAATATACCAACAAAAATAAAACCAAGATACCATGTCCGCCAAACAAGCTGGAGCCGCGTCCCTGGGGATGGCCTCGGAGAATTTTGGATACTCCCGGGTTCGTCTTCGAAGAGTCAAAAAGTTGCAGTTTGGGGTTGTCGATCCGAACGAGCTTGTAAGCGAAACCTAGTTGGACCGTTGTGACGTGACGGGACCCGAATCGGCTAGAGCCTCAATGCTTTTGCTGTTTTGGTAGTCGTGCCGTGTTGTGACCGACAATAATAGTCAAACTTACGCTCTTTTCCTTTTATTGATTATTCTTTCGTTCCTTTGATCAAATGTGGAACGAATCGAATCGAATCGAATTGAATTGCTGGTCATACCGTTATTACTTTGCTTTGTTATCATCCTTGTTAATGTCCGAACTATGAACCTGCGATGTTGTCATCTAATGCAAACGGCAGCGTCAATACTCAGTCACACAGGCTATTACGGTCAACGGCCGCCAGATTCCGGCGGGAGTCACCAAGTACGAAACCCAAATCCAGGGCCAACCAGTCTATGGAGGAGTGAACGATCCGCGCCTGGGTACACTCCACGACAAGAGTAACCCGGGATATTTCGGTCACTTAGAACTGGCCCGACCCGTTTATCACCAAGGATACTTCAACACAACACTTAAGACGCTGCGATGCGTTTGTTTCCATTGCTCTCGCATGAAGAAAACGATGGACGAGCACAAGATGCAGGTGGCCTCGAAAATAAAAAAACGCGGAAAGCGCTTGAATGCCTTTCACGATTTGCTCCGCAACGTGAAAAAGTGCGATCACTGCCAGGGATCCCAACCGAAGTTCACCAAGGTTGGGCTCCACCTGGAAGCGGAATTTCTCGACGATGATGGGGGCGGGGGCGCCATGGGTGGCGATTCGAAACAATTCTTGAGCGGGGCGCAGGCCGTCAAGATCTTTCAAACCATGAAGGAGGAGGAGATGAAGATTCTGGGCTTGGACACGACCTTTGCCCGCCCCGATTGGTTGTTGGTGCAGGTCTTGCCGGTCCCGCCTCCCCACGTTCGTCCCAGTGTCAGCGTGGGCGGAGGAGCGGCCTCGGAAGACGATTTGACCCACCAGCTCGTGAATGTCGTAAAGAGCAACATTGCCCTAAGCAACGCCATTCAGAACGGAGAACCCAATATTATCGTCGAGCAGTTCGAACAGGCCCTTCAACACAACGTGGCGGCCTTCATGAACAATGAACTTCGCGGAATGCCCCAGGTGACGCAACGCAGCGGTCGTCCCCTCAAGACCCTTCAGCAGCGCCTCAAGGGTAAGGAGGGACGCCTGCGTGGAAACTTGATGGGAAAGCGTGTCGATTTTTCGGCACGAACCGTCATCACAGCCGATCCCAACCTTGGAATCCACCAAGTGGGAGTACCCCGGTCTGTAGCAATGAACCTGACGGTTCCCGATCGGGTTACCGCCTTCAATATAACCGAACTGAGCCAATTAGTGGCCAATGGTCCAACCACACACCCGGGAGCCAAGCATATTATTCGCAACGATGGAACTCGTATCGATTTGCGTTATGTGAAAAACAAATCGGAACTTTTGCTTGCACCCGGATGGATTGTGGAACGCCAGTTGCGTGACGACGATGTGATTTTGTTCAATCGGCAACCTTCGCTGCACAAAATGAGTATTATGGGACATAGAGTCAAGGTACTCGACTGGTCGACTTTTCGATTGAATCTCAGTTGTACATCTCCCTACAATGCCGACTTTGATGGAGATGAAATGAATCTCCACGTTCCTCAGTCTATTGCAGCACGTGCCGAGGCCGAATTGATGATGCTTTCGCCAAGAGTGGTCGTTTCGGGACAGAGTAACCGTCCCGTTATGGGTATTGTCCAAGATTCACTCCTTGCGGTGCAAAAAATGACCAAGCGCAATTGCTTCATTCCCAAGGACTTGACTTTCAATATGCTAATGTGGGTCAAGAACTGGAATGGTAGGATTCCCATTCCCGCCATTTGCAAACMAGAGGAACTGTGGACCGGAAAACAACTTCTCGGAATGATCTTACCCAAGATTAATCTTCACGCTAAGGCAAATACAGGGCCACCTGTTGGAGACGATGGCAAGCGTATGCCCAACACCTTCAATGCCTACGATAACAAGGTTACAATATTGGAAGGGGAACTCATTGAGGGGATTATCGACAAAAAAACGATCGGAAAGAGCATGGATGGTCTCATTCACACATCTTGGTTGGACCAGGGTCACGAAGAAACTGCAAGATTTATGAACCAAGTTCAACAACTGGTCAACTACTGGGTCTTGCAGAGCTCCTTTAGTATCGGTGCTTGCGATGCTGTGGCTGACATGAAAACGATGAAGGAAATCGAGGCAACGATCAATAAGGCAAAATTGCAGGTATTGGATCTGGTCCGTCAGGGCCAGCTTGGAAAGCAAGGAAACCTCGAAATTCAACCTGGACGAACCATGATGGAGTCTTTCGAACAACTTGTTAACAAGGTTTTGAATACTGCACGTGATCATGCTGGTAAATCGGCACAGAGTTCGTTGGACGAGACGAACTCCGTGAAGGCAATGGTGTCGGCGGGATCTAAGGGATCGTTTATCAATATTTCTCAGATCATTGCGTGTGTGGGACAGCAGAATGTGGAAGGAAAGCGTATCCCATACGGATTTAAGAAACGAACGCTTCCCCATTTTTCAAAGGACGATTTGGGACCCGAGTCTCGTGGATTTGTCGAAAACAGTTACCTGCGTGGGTTGACTCCTCAGGAATTTTTTTTTCATGCTATGGGTGGTCGAGAAGGTTTGATCGATACCGCTTGTAAGACAGCAGAGACCGGTTATATCCAGCGCCGTTTGGTCAAAGCGATGGAAACAGTTATGGCTCGGTATGACGGTACTGTTCGAACGTCTGGCGGGCAAATTGTTCAGTTTTTGTATGGAGAAGATGGTATGGATGCCGTCTGGATTGAACGCCAAGACTTCGATTCTTTGACGCTGGCGAAAGAGGAATTCGAAAATCGCTATGTTCTGAATACAACTGCTAGTGACTTTGGTTATGATGAACAAAACGTTCCCTTTTTGGAATCGGATGTAATGGAACAGTGTCGTACAGATCCTGAGGTTCAAATCTTATTGGATAAAGAAGCAGAAACACTTCGGGAAGATCAAGCTGTTTTGCGAGTTGTCATGGCTAATAGAGAAGCTGGCAGAGAATCCGATGAGAGCTCGTACGCACCCGGTAATGTGAAGCGTGTTATTCAAAATGCCTTGCGTCAGTTTCAAATCGATCGTGGCCAACCTTCCGACTTACATCCAAAAACAATCATTGCCAAGGTCGGAGAACTTTTGGATCGTTTKGGTGTGGTGGTTGGTGACGATCCGCTCAGTATCGAAGCACAAAATAATGCAACCACGTTGTATCGAATTCTTATTCGAGGTATGTTGGCAAGCAAACGCGTTCTGAAGCAATATAGGTTGTCCGAGGCTGCACTGAACTGGGTCATTGGCGAGGTAGAGACACGTTTCCATAAGGCGAAGGTGAATCCAGGAGAGATGGTTGGTGTGCTTGCCGCCCAGTCGATCGGAGAACCCGCAACACAGATGACTCTAAATGTAAGTTTCTTCTTCTATGACTGCGCTTTTTTTAATTGATGGCAATACATCGCGGCCCAATAACATTCATTTCTAACCTTCTCTTTTTCCTGACGAACTTATAGACATTCCACTATGCCGGAGTGTCAGCCAAAAACGTAACCCTTGGGGTTCCTCGGCTCAAAGAAATCATTAATGTTGCGAAGACACCGAAGACACCTGGTCTCACTGTGTATTTAGCAGAAGAATTCAGTGGCGATCGGCAAGTTGCAGAACTTGTCGTTAGTATGCTGGAATTTACGGTTTTGAAAGACATTGTCAAGCGTACCGAAATTTGGTATGATCCCGACATAAAAAATAGTGTTGTGATGCAAGATAACGAATGGGTGAAAGATTACTACGATTTCGCAGAGAAAACTGAGGACGACATCAATCGGATGAGTTCTTGGGTCCTCCGTATGGAACTTGATAAGGATATTGTTTTTGTTAAAAAAATTCAAATGAGCGAAGTTGTAAAAGAGGTAGAGAACGAATATGGTACTGATCTGCACGTCGAAGTTTCAGATGACAACGCCGAAGATTTGGTTGTTCGGATTCGTATTGTCAACGATTTACCATACAATCCTAATTCTGGAGCTGTTGACGAGGCAGGAAATCCAATAGAAGAAGTTGAAGCTGGTGATGAAGATGACGTCTTTTTGAAACGATTGGAAAAAAGTCTCCTAAATAATTTGAAATTGAGAGGTATTGATCACGTGAAAAAGGTGTTCATGCGTGGGGGTGCGAAACGCACTATCTGGGATGATGACAAAGGATTTGGCACTCGGAATGAATGGGTTCTTGAAACTGACGGAACAAATCTCATGGGAGTTCTAGGAGTCGACTACATTGATTCCGCTCGTACCATTAGTAATGACATCGTGGAAGTCTTTGTCTCGTTGGGGATCGAAGGCGTTCGCGGTGCCCTCCTTTCCGAGTTGCGTAATGTTATTTCCTTCGATGGTTCTTACGTCAACTACCGCCATTTAGCCAGTCTAGTAGATGTTATGACCATGCAAGGCCATTTGATGGCAATTGATCGACACGGTATCAATCGTGTTGATACCGGACCTTTGCTTCGTGCTTCCTTCGAGGAAACTGTTGATATGTTGATGGATGCAGCTATGCATGCCGAAGAAGAAGTGCTTAAAGGCGTAACAGAGAACATCATGTTCGGTCAACTACCAAGAGTGGGAACCGGCGACATGGAGCTGCTACTGGACGAGGACAAAGTTGTGCGTGAAGCCGTTGAAGTCGTAGTTGATGACGTGATTGGGGATAATCTGGGTATGATCGGCAGTTCATCTAGTGGTGCTGCTACCCCTTATGCATCTACTCCTTTCGCCAGCAGTCCCATGGTTGGAGGAGGAGAAATGTCTCCCTTCGTCGGAACAGGGCAGTTCAGCCCTGCCGTTGGAACGGCTTCATTTTCTCCTGCTTATTCTCCCGCGAGCGGATCATATGGTTCTGGTTTTGCGTCCGGCTCCTATGGGCAGGATGATGGGTCAAGCAGCCCAAGCTATAACCCATCCTCTCCTGCATACAGTCCAACAAGCCCTGCATATTCACCCACGAGTCCTGCATATTCACCTACAAGCCCAGCTTATTCGCCTACAAGCCCAGCTTATTCACCTACGTCACCTGCTTATAGCCCCACGAGTCCAGCTTACTCACCAACATCACCTGCTTACAGCCCAACAAGTCC